ACTGAAAATTATTAAGAAATCGGTAATACTAATAAAACTTTAGTTTACCTAACTGTTCTAATAATTTATTATTACAGAAATTACCCAGTAGGGAAGATGGTAATAGAGAAGATGACGCAAAATATATAACTGTAAGAAATTATTAAGCAATATTATTAATGCGTTGTTCAATTTACATGCAGGAAGCTGGTATAAATCTTGTACAGGACATTAGAGCAACCAATGCAGGAAAGTATGCACTTCAATTAATGGATATCATCTTTACCGATGAAGAAATGGCATCATCCATTTATGAAGAATCAACGAAATCAAAAAAACCTGGGTTAGACCGTAAGAGAGTGGCATTTTTAGAAGGTAAAATAACTTGTTTATGCCAATTAATAACTCGTGCTTCATTATAATAGATTGCATCAAAAAGAAGTTTGGTGAAGCCACATTTCAAGAGCAGAGCTCAGCAATAAAGAAGAAGTGCACTCAGAAATGTATTGATAAGCAACGCAGTAAAAGGTCTGAAGTCTAGTAATGTTTAACTCATTTCAACATCATTTAACTCATTATTTACTCATTAATTTTCACGTGTGATAATTTGGTTCAAGAAATGTTTTTTAAGTGTTAAAAATATAATTTTAAAGTAAAGACCATGCATGCATGAACATAAAAGATTTTAAATCATAGATCATGCATGATCTTGTTGGATAACACTGGTAAGATTAGGTATGATCATGCAAGAACATGTACCTGATCATACCTGATTTTGGAACTTTTTGTCCAATAATCTTACATGATCAGATAAGAAAATAGTGTAAGATCTTGATAGGATCAGTGGCAAGATCTTGCATAAGATTTATTTGCTGGGTAGTGATGCATGATATGACATTAGTGGTATAAGGTAAGTCCTGTGTCCACAGCAACTACCTCCTTGATTAGAGCCTGATGTCTTTCTGAAGAGCTCTTCATAGACAGTAAATCTGTTCTTGATTGATAACCTCTAACCCTATGATCAATAGTGACAAATAGGAGCTACCCCAATGATTACAAAATAGGTCTTCTTTCTTGCATGCTTTGAAAAGCAGATGGAATGATCCAATGATGACAAATACGGTTAAAAGAAAGCAAAAGTAGAGACCGCAAGATGTTACAATTTTACGCTACGTGACTATGCAGCATGACACGCCAAGCATACCAAAACGTAATATAATATTATACATTTACATATGCAATAATTAGCATATGAACATTAACTAAACTTAGAAACAGTTTAGGGTCATGTTTAGGACCGTTAAAATCTAACAAAATGTGTATGAGGAACATGTGTAAATTTGGGGTCACCTATATGAGGAGCATGTATGAATTGTGTCACATATATAAGAAACATGTTTAATTATTAAGAACATGGTGTACCATTTTCAAATTATGAAACAAATTGTGGTAGTAACAATACACACTCACACTCAAGCCACAAAACACAACGCAGAATTAAAACTTCGCTAATTTTGTGTCAACTTTAAAACGTTACTTTCATTAAATCATCAGATTACCCACACAGTTTCAACGTGATGTTGATCATAAACCTACAATGAGACTTATTGACTTATTTTGAAAGGTGAGGCAAACACTAAACAATTGATCCTAAGTCAAAGCTACGGGATCGAGAAAGAGATCAGAATGAGAATTAGGAAGCTAGTGCCCAGGTTCATCAAGCTACCTGCATCACAAACCTCACCAATCTACCCACCGTAACCTGGCTTAGCTCAACTGTATAGTGTTTGCCTGCTTTTAAGCAGTTAAAGGATTGAGACGAAAAAAGAAAAAGAAAAGTCCAATCCTTTCTTCTGCTTAGAGTCCATATCACACAAAAAGGAAAGAGAGTGAAAGAGAAGAAGAGAGGGTTCCAAGCATGTGATACTGGGTGCCTCGATCCGACCCAAAAGGGGGACACGACTTCTCCCACACTCCTGGGCGAAACCCTCTCCCCTCCGCTGACCCTCCCCTTCCCTCTCGCATGATCGGGACTAAAAGCAGGTCACTGTGAAAAAGGGTAGCTCAACCCATACAGTGAAAAAATATGCTCATGTCTTCATTTAATCAAATATGTTCTCCTCTCCTCCTCTGGTAGTCTATCAGTTCTTCTCCTTCCTCCTCTCAGAATGCTAGTATTAGATGAAGATCCAATATTGTAAACTGTAGATTAGTGCTGGATGCTTGAGCCTCAATGCTATGATAGCAGTGGAAAGTACTACAGCTGTGTCCACATCAATATCCACCTCCTTGTTAGCTGATGTCCTTCCAAAGAGCCATTAGTAAATCATATGGAATGTTCTTGATTGATACACTAGCTCTCACAAGGTACTGAATTAATTCATGATGCATGGTAACAAACCATACTTTGATGTGATTGAAAATACCAAAATAGATTGAAGTTTTCTAGCAAGCAGGTCGAGTGATCCAGTGATGACAAAGATTGTCCAGAGAAAGCAAGACTGGACACCAGGAGATGTTGCGGTTTTACGCTACGTGAGGACACGTGTACAAACACGAACAAAAACATCATAATATATTATCATGCACACATTTACATGCAGACACTAACATATTAAAAACAAGAATATGAAATTTGGGCACAGGTACATGTACATACATAGAGAG